TGGGGGGAGGGGGGTCCATCTCAGAGGCCTGTTACAGTGACGCCATGGACCTGTGACGTGTGACGTATGACGTGTTATGGCGTCTAAGTAGGCTCCACTCGGAATCCCACAGATGGGACGAGGCATTCTCGTCTCCTGGGATGGAACACGCCTCTGGTTCTCGCGATGATCTGGAAGTTCGGGGCTCTGGTGACCGGCAAGTTCATCAGTTTTTGTTTCTTGTTCTTGCATTTGTTGATGTACAGGATGTCCTTGGCCTGGCTGTACACGCCGATGACGTCACCTCGTTGTACCGAGATCTGCTCGTCTGCTGGGACCTGTGTGCCAAAAGAATCGGGATCTTTATACAGTGCGGTCAAACATTCGTAACTCAACTTGTCCTCAATATATCTTTTCAACGGGATAATCAATGTCACCCATACTTTGCGCAGCAGTTTGTAGCAATTTGTCTTAACTTAAGCATATTTTTCCACAACAATAGAGGCTAGATTTAAAAACTTTTCTTCATAAATTTACATAAAATACTATAAATTTCTTTCATGCGGAAAATCAAACTTGTTCACATCACTTCCGGCTTCTCATATACATTAATTTTATTGTGAACACATTTTTTCACTAAAAGTTTTTAAAAAAAACATAGTTCAATAAACCCAATCTCGCAATTAGAAGAAGAAAAAATGACGGGCTTACTTTTAAAAGCAATATTGTCCGAGTTGTAAACCTTTTAAAATTTGTGTAAACCACACGCTGTGATTTTTTAACTTAGTATTTATTAAGGAATTTTCTAGAATACAGCAGACAGGTGTTTACAAAAATACTGATGTGTTAAGCATGTCCGTGTGCAAAAGCTGGATAATTTATGTTCAAAAGTTGAGGAGATATTTGACAATAAGCTGAGCCACGAATTTTTGACCGCACTATAGTTCAACCATTCGCTGCTTTAAAATTACGATGTTCTACCTGACATATTGGGCCGTTTTGAGTTACAGAGACCACGAGGTCAGAAACTAGATGTACTATCTACTCTATCACAGCTGATTAAAACCTGTCAATTCTTTGCCATATCGACAGACCGAAGGGCTAGAACCCAAATGGCCGCTGAATCGGAAAAGTAAAGTAAAGTAAAGTATCTGCTCTATCAAAATCGAAAGATTATTCGGAGTCGTTGCTAAGATATTCAAAGAACTGTGTGGCATATCATGAAACTCAAAATGTTCAGTGTCATATTTCTCAACACAAGGTACTGAGCAAATAGAACTTTGTAAGTCTGGGGTAGCGCATTGTGAAATTATAATGATAAACAGGTCAATTATAAAAGATTGAGCTGTTTTTGAGACGAACTGTTTCAACTCTCAAGCATTGTTATGGAATAAGTCAGGGACCATTTAAAAGAAGATTTATCTAACTTTCGAATAGCTGTTAATAATAATAATAATAATAATAATAATAATAATAATAATAATAATAATAATAATAATAATAATAATAATAATAATAATAAATAACATTTATATAGCGTTCGACCCCGATTAAAGTACACAGGTCCTGAATATTTTAAAATACAATACAATGCACAACAGTAATATAAAACGTTGTGTTCAGATAAAAAGAAAATCATTGAAATTCAAAATATTCATCTCATTAATGCAACAACAGAAATGACTTCAGCTGACATTAATTTTGTTACAGGTATGCTGGTTGCGTCGCTCTTTCTTCGACGGAAATAACGGTATATACAGGACAAATCTATCTCGATATTATCATGCTCCAAAACTGCCTCTTTACAACATTGCAGGCAGATTGCATGACTTCATATATTGAGTCTTAGACCAAAGTGTTCCGGTAAAATGCAAAATGTGTTGAGCAATGGCCAGGCAGGTGGGGGAAAAGAATTCGATTTCTTTGATTTCCTTATTTGCAAGAATGTCTGTTTTACCCATGATGCTGCACGTATTATGTGTCACGATACGGTGGAATCAGGCGCTCGTCAATTTTGGGGCACGAGGAATTATGGGTGTCATCTTAATACTTGTTCATTTGCCGACCTTTCCATTAAAAAAATACTCATCAAATTTTTATAAAGGCGGACACATTTTGATTGAAGGAAATGAGGGTCGCCTGATTTCTGAAGTAAACAAAGCGAGAAAATAGCTGCCAAAGCTTGGTATTTTAAAATGCTAGAGAGTCCTTGGAAACTGAAAATTTACATTTTTCGTGCCTTTAATCAACTTCTTTTTAGTAAAATCCAAACTGAAATGTGTTTTTGAATGGGTAAAATAAGCTGTAGAGCTAAAAACAAGATTCTATAAAAATTGCCAAACTGGCAAAGAAATGACGTTATCTTCAATTTTATTATTTGAACGAGCGCCTGTTCTGAACCATGATACGACCCAGGGGTGTGGTGGAGGAGCGGTTAGTGCGCTCGTCTCTTAAGCGGAAAGACCGGGTTCGAACCTCAGTTCGGGCACCGATTTTTTTCGTCCCCTCCTGCCCACCCAGC